TTTTTTTTCTTTCTTTAAGAGGAGAGGTGCTGGAGATGTTCAGAGGAGAGGGATGAGGTTTTTAAGAGATTTTTCTTCTTAAATGGTAAAGTGAGAGGTGGAGGGCACATATATATAAGCCCATGTGAAGAGAAATCCTCAATTTGGCCAAAGTTGAGGGGTTTTATGCAAAATTTCCCCCACTAACATGGCTGAACAAATATAATAACTATGTTAATTAGAGAGTTTCACATTAGGTATTTAATAATTTGGTTATCTCTAATCAAGGTTTAAAGCATGGTTATCTTAGGTTTACATGCTAAGTTTGTATGCATGCTATGACTTAGTTAACTAGATCACAATATGAGAATTAGCTAAGTTAAATTCTCATACTAGAAGATTATATGAGATGAAATGAAGAAAAGCATCTACTAATTTATGGATTGGTGTCGGTAACGGTATCCAATCAATGCAAGGGGAAAAAAAATTTGGAATGTTACACCTTGTTTGGATTTTTTGCACAACGTACTAGTTCCATTTAGTTAGGGGTTAAGTGGGAGTATCCGTATTTTAGACTGTTAAGCATAGATATTGCTAGTGATTCATATCTAGAGATTAATTATATGATATGTATACGGGAGGGTTGGATTATCCACTCTTAGTGCCTTTCTCATGTTATTAATTCTTAAGATACGTTGCGGAATTTCGAGGACGAAATTCTTTAAGGGGGGAAGAATGTAAAACCACAAAAATTTAAATATTTTGTGATAAATAATAATAAATATTTTATGGTGATAAATGGCATATTGTGATGTTTGAGTATGATAGGAATTGATTTGAGATCAATTCAAAGTATATATGTATATATGAGTGTAAATGCACAAAACATGCTCGATGTATAAATCTGAAAATTTATGACCAGTAAAGACATTTTATATTTTACACACTGATAAAGTATGATTTTTGAAAAACTTAAAAGACCAAAGTTGTAGGTATCTTCAGTATATTTCTAACAAATCTTTAATCACTTCATTCCGAGGTCAGATACGAAAGTTACATGTAAAATACCGAAGAGTGTGTTTCTAGTCAGACTATGTTTTCCAGTTTCGGGTGTTGTAGTTATTCGGGTTTGTTGTCATATATATGCATGTTTTTACACAAAAATCACCTCTTTTCTTCTGAGTTCCAAATCCTAGCAGCCCCTCTCCTCCTCTCTCAAACCCTAGCCCTAAACTTGAGTTCTCGGGAGAGTTTCATAAGGCGAAAAGAAAGGAGAAGGCGGGATTTACGACATTTGGCATCGAGGGATCTTTCTCACACATTTTTGGGAGTTCATCAACACCCCTCAGGCGAGTTTCATCTCGCCCAATCCATCACCCAGTTTTTAAATGCTTTTTAATAATTATTTTATTGTGATTTATGAGCCTAACATGCTACTTTATGTATAAACATAGATCTTATTATTGTATATTGCAAAGAGAACAAGTTTTCAGTTAATAAGATCACACACGAAGTTCTTAATGTAGATCTAGATCTAAAAATATTTTTAAAATAAGAGTTTAAAAGAAAAATAATTGTTTTTGAAGGTTTCGACATGAATATGTATGTTTTAAATTGTTTCGTTTTGTCTATAATGATTAGACTATTTATCTCATGTTCCAGATATGTTAAATCATATGTATAGGGTTACATATATATATAAACATCATACACGAAGTTCGAGATCAAAATCACGTTGAACAGAAACTAGAAAATAGTTTCTGCTTCTGCGCGGTCAACCGCGATGGGCGCGGCGGTCAACCGCGTAGCGTGCACAGGTTTAGGGTTTGTGTTTGTTTTGATCACGGTCGACCGTGCTGTCGATCGCGGTCGACCGTCGATCGTGATCGACCGGGCTTGGCTCAGCGGTCGACCGCTAGGGAGCACAGAAGAACAGGATGTTCCTGTTCTCTATGCAGTCGACCGGGGTGGGCACGGCGGTCGACCGCGAGTCGATTTTTGGCACTGTTCAGTTGTGCATATGTTCGTGTGGCTAGTAATATTTCTAGGTTATTTGGGGTTGTTAAACACTGAGAATTTTGTATATGAGTTGACTATAGACATGATACTTGTTTAATTCCCCGACACATGAGAGTGAATAGTGTATATATATGCTTTTAAATTGTAATCTATTGTAGTCCATGTGTTAGACACTTATCCATTGCGGCCCATGTATTGGACCTAAATCATGTAGTCCATGTGTGGGACATTTACTTATTTCAGTCCATGTGTTGGACACTTGTCTATTGTGGCCCATATGTTGGACCATAATTATATAGTCCATGTGTTGGAAATTTACCCGTTTTAGTCTATATGTTGGACCTTGATCATATATAGTCCATGTGTTGGGCTTTTACCTGTTACAGTCCATGTGTTGGGCATTTATCATATGCAGTCCATGTGTTGGGCATTTATCATATGTTGTCCATGTGTTGGACATTTATCTGAATTATCTTATCTAATATATAGTAGATGAAGTCCATGTGTTGGACAAGTATATGGCATCAGTCAGGACATATTGATAGTATGATTGGAGATGTAGTTATCTTTCATTATTGCTCCACACTGTAGCTTTTGGATTTGGTATTTAGAGGAGTTGACTTTCATTATTTCTCCACAATGTAGCTTTTGGATTTGGTATTTAGGGATTTACAATTTGAGACATATGGTATATACATGAGGGTTTCCTTATTTGGATTATTTCACTCGACGTACCATGCTCGTATTGTAAATTTTTAAATATCAAACCTCCTTTTATTTCAGAGTAGATGATTGTTTATCTATATGTATTAACAGTTATTTTTTTTATCCTTCTAGCCCTTCTCCCTGGGGTTGGTTGAGATGTTACTCGCTATAGCGCTTTGACGCTTGTTGTTTCCCCACTTTCAGGTAACGAGCCAGGTACACGGAGAGCTGTAGCTTGATGGATTTGCTCTAGTTACTATTTATAGATATTTTATTATTAGTTTATTGTTAGGACTCCACGATGATTTTGTTTATGAACATTGAGATGTTATTTCTAGCTTTGTAAAGAGTTTATTGTTAGGACTCCACGATGATTTTGTTTATGAACATTGAGATGTTATTTCTAGCTTTGTAAAGGTGAGGTGCCTTAATGTCATTTCATTTGATTGTCTATGTCGAGATATTTGTATTTAACTCAGAGGTTGTTCCTTTTACAGAGATTGATTTATTCATATCAGTGGTGGCTATTTCCTTCAGAGTATCTGTTGTTTAATATTTCTTCTGTATATTCTCTTTTGCCTGTTTTTGTATCTACACCTGTTATTGATTCCACTAGATAGATACTTATTGTGATGGTGAAACATGTTATTGCACGGTGTAGTGCATGACAGGTTTGACATTCTTGGTTTTACCTTGGACTACAGCCTTGTTGAAACCAGGGGTGTTACACTAAGTGTTATACATGCTAGCAAGTTAAAGCAGAACATTAGAGACTTATAGGAACCCTACAGCCTTTACCCATTCTCGAGTGAAAGTGGGCAGATATTTCTATGGAATTTATAGTAGGGTTGCCTAAATCAAAGAAAGGAAATAATTTTGTTTGGGTTATAATAGACAGATTGACAAAGTCGGCGCATTTCTTACCCATGAGGACAACTTATATGGCAGACACATATACGAGGATTTTTATTCGAGAGATTGTCAGAATGCATGGAGTTCCGGAGATGGTTGTATCCAAATCGGGGCTCAGTCTTCACATCCCATTTCTGGAGGAGTTTTCATGATGCTTTTGGCAGCCAGTTATCATTCAGTAGTGTATTTCACCCTCAGACAGATGGTCAGACCGAGAGGGTGAATCAAATGTTGGAGGATATGCTAAGAGCATGTGTTATAGATTTTCAGGGTAGCTGGGAGGACCACATCCCATTGATTGAATTTGCATATAATAATAGTTATCAAGCTACCATCGGGATGGCGTCGTTGAAGCCTTGTACGGGAGGCCTTGCAGATCGCCTATATGTTGGGCAGAGCCAGATGATAGTCTATTACTTAGCCCAGAGCTAGTTAGGTAGACAACGAAAAAGGTGGCATTGATTCGAGAGCACATTATTGCTGTACAGAGTTAGCAAAAGAGTTATGCAAATCGGCGGAGATGTCCCTTAGAGTTTCAGGTCGGAGACTTAGTTATGTTGAAAGTATCACCAATGAAGGGCGTTCAGTGATTCGGTAGACGGGGGAAGCTTGTCCCGAGATATATTGGTTCCTTCAGGATTATCGAGTGCATTGGAGTTGTTTCTTATAGATTAGACCTTCCAACATTAATGTCGAGCATACATGATGTCGAGCATACATGATGTCTTTCATATTTTGATGCTCAAGAAGCATTTGAGTGATGAAGAGTAGCAGAGGGTGAATGATTCACCAGAGGTTGAGATCCAGGATGATTTGACTACCGTAGAGATTCTGGTATGCATTCTTGCTAGATGATTCACCAGAGGTTGAGATCCAGGATGATTTGACTACCGTAGAGATTCTGGTATGCATTCTTGCTAGAGAGAATAAAAAGCTTAGAAACAAAGTCATTCCATTAGTGAAAGTTTAGTGAAACTGGCAAGGAGCCGAAGATATTTCTTGGGAGAGTGAGGAGGATGTACGTCGCGACTATCCGCACCTGTTTGAATAGGTAAGATGTTGATATTTAAACGTGCTTATATGCGTTGATAGATGTGATTGCATATGTTGTTTAGTCACGTTTATACTTAACGCTAGAATGGATCACTCAACACTTAGCTCTTAATTATTCGGAACATATGATATATATATATATATATATACAGTGCGTTTCTCATACGCATCAGTTCGTACGCATTCACGTGTTTCTGGGTTTTTTTGCAAAAATCGCTACTTATCACTCGTGACCACTTAAATTCTCTCTCAACCTGAAAAAACCCCAGATCCGTTCTCTCTCTCCCTAAAAAAAGCCCCAAATCCTCTGAATCTCTCTCAACCTGAAAAAACCCCAGATCCGTTCTCTCTCTCCCTAAAAAAAGCCCCAAATCCTCTGAAAAAAACATCGGTCCTGCTCCTAACTCCGCCGACGATCGACCACATCCTCCGACAAACTCTATCGAGGTCGACCAACTCCGCCTTCAGCTCCTCCTCCTGCGCGATTTCGCCGTCGACTATCGCCGCCGTGAGATCTCCCAACTACAGCCCTAACTCCACCTTCAGCTCCTCCGAGATCTTCCACATCATCAAGGAGCTGATCGGGTTCATCCTCTACATACACCATCAGACCCCTTCGTACGGGAATTCGCGAAGCTATTATGTCATTGAAGAATGTAAAGAGCTGATCGGGTAATATTTTATCAGAGCTCATTATGTAATTTGAGAAATTATTCAGGCAGTGCATTGAAGAATTCGCGAAGCTATTATGTCACCGAGATCTTCCACATCATCAAGGAGCTGATCGGGTTCATCCTCTACATACACCATCAGACCCCTTCGTATGGGAACTCTAATCTCTCTCCAAATCTGTTTCTTTTCAATTTATGCAAGTATATATATGACTCCATATTCTCTTTTGCTGTTGCTCCAAATAAATTATTCAGGCAGTGCATTGAAGAATTCGCGAAGCTATTATGTCATGGGTTTCCACACACGAAACAAATGAAACATAATAACAGAAACTTAAATAAAAAAATGCAGGAGTACAGTAGGTTCATTGTGTGTAAAACTTTAACCAATATTTACAACTAGATTACAATTACTAAAGAAGCTTTAATTCTTTCCATCAATTTCTTTTCAATTTATGCAAGTATATATATGACTCCATATTCTCTTTTGCTGTTGCTCCAAATCTAACTATGACTTCACTTTGCTCCAGATATTGAGCAGCAAGGTCATTATGGAGGGATCGGGGAAGCACAACCCTCTCAATGAGGGATCCATTCTCTGGATTACTGAAACTAGGTTGCCACTAGGAAGAATTGATGAAGTATTTGGACCTGTGAAGAATCCCTTCTATGTTGTCAGGTACAACTCTGATGATGAAGTTCCTCAAGGAATCAGCATTGGTGTTGCCATCTCTTTTGTTGTGGATTTTTCCAACCATATTCTAAATGAAAATACCTCTATGAATGATTAATGTATGTGATAGGTCTTTGTTAATGAGTTCACCATTGCTGGTGTTCATGTTTTCTAATCATAGTATGTATTAAGTATCGAGGAAAGTTATTGAAGTAATAAAATGTCCCCCTTCGCTGGTACTATCGAAATTCCCCTTCGCCGGTTTCCATTTCAGGTTTTTGGGTGCCTCTGCAGTACCCTTGTTGGAAAAGCCAAGGGTCAAAGTCCTCCTCAAGTGATCAACTGGCCTTTTGAGTTGTCATACATTTCTAGAACTAGCTGAGTCCCTTGTTTTCATATCGGTTACATTTGCGACAATGGTTCGTTCTTTTGGGTTATATATGAATGGTGTATGTTGTGCATCTTCATAATCTTTGGTCTCATGTTGTTTTACAGTGCAAATCTGCAGCACCGATATTTTTCCTGTCTGTCACCATCTAGTATGGAAGAATTTTGTAGCAAATATCTCTTCCCTTGTTCTTTAAATTTGGGTTCTTTGTACTGTATTAAGATGTGTGGTCTTGTTGGTACAAAATATTAATTCTTAATTTTCATGAAAAGTTCTATTCATTCAAAACCGTTAAAATTGATATGAGTGGATGAAGGATCAAACGACAACGGATTCACCCCAAACTTGGTTTGTCGGGGTTTTAGAATATGTAGATCAAGTTCAACGGAGCGGATCATCCATAATGTCGCTCAATCATGTGGTTTGAGCAGTTCGCAACTTTGTGCTACGATGTGTATTACTAGCTCTTCATGTTGTAACCGAAACATTGATGCATGAACTCGAAACATTGATGTAACCGTGTTGTTTTGCTTGTGTTGTATTGCAGGACCAAATGTAGTAAACGAAACATTGTTTTAACTGTGTTGTTTTGCAACAAATTTCACTATATGTGAGTTTGAGAGTTGCAGTCTCTTTCAATTTGTTGTTGATATGTGGTGTATATCCATTATTTGTTGAAACATAGACAGTGAATTTTCTTGTTATGTACCTATTGTGTTTGCTTATGAGCATTCCTCTTCGTTTGTGTGTTATTTGTTCGATTATTTTCAGCTAAATCAGCAGATTACCTTGTGGTTATGTAGAATGTAAGGAACCCATGAGCAGAAAACTGCACAGAATGGGGCTGAGGAAATCCTCCTTGGACGCCGATGGGTTGTCATTTGAACAATGGGTTGTCATTTGAACGATGCAATATTCCCAAAGCTCAATACAACCATCTCCCCGAGCGTTTTCCCTTTTGAAGAAGAATATTCACATCGCAACCTACTACACCTCAAGACACAAGCATCAACAAATGTAGCAGACTTTTGAAGAAGAATATTCACATCGCAACCTACTACACCTCAAGACACAAGCATCAACAAATGTAGCAGAGAAACATCAATTGCAACCACAGATTCAATACTACACCTCAAGACACAAGCATCAACAAATGTAGCAGAGAAACATCAATTGCAACCACAGATTCAAAGGCACTAATGGAACATTCTCAACATAAACATGCTCTGCAAATCGCAACTCAAAATGGAAGACAAGTTTTTATTTATAATAGAGTGCCAGTCAAGATTTACACAAAGATTGCTTCAAATTCGGGACACAATTGCTTCAAATTTACATAACTAAAGTCCTAAATATAAGAAGCATAAATATTACACATTGTCAACCTCTCTTTACAACTAAACCCTTATAATTAGCTTTCTTGCCAAACCTAGTCTCCTGTTTCCCATAGTTGCATCTCGTTTACTTTGATGGAGAGATCTCTTGTACTCAGCTTCCTTTTCATCATCAGAGAATTCCACTTCGTCAGCAGCCTCCTCATCATCGATACCTGATTCTTCTTTATGCTTGAAGCTCCAGTCTTCACAGCTTTGGCAACTTTTACAGCCTGTGCCTTGGCGTCAGTTTTTTTGTTGGTAGCTGCATCAAAATAAAAACATATATTCATGTCAGAAGCCTATGAGGTCGCAACTTCCAGTGTGAGACAGTTAAATAGACTTTAGCAAAGTTTGGGCATCACTCTTTTGATAAAATAAACTTATATGATATATCTTATATATAATTAAAAAGGATTGAAGTATGAAATGAATCATGCAAACAACAGCACTTGGTCAAAATAGTGCATGAAAATTAAGAATTAATATTTTGTACCAACAAGACCACACATCTTAATACAGTACAAAGAACCCAAAGACTGCAATCGAGAAATAGCTAGTTCTAGAAATGTATGACAACTCAAAAGGCCAGTTGATCACTTGAGGAGGACTTTGACCCTTGGCTTTTCCATCAAGGGTACTGCAGAGGCACCCAAAAACCTAAAATGGAAACCGGCGAAGGGGAATTTCGATGGTACCAGCGAAGGGGGACATTTTATTACTTCAATAACTTTCCTCGATACTTAATACATACTATGATTAGAAAACATGAACACCAGCAATGGTGAACTCATTAACAAAGACCTATCACATACATTAATCATTCATAGAGGTATTTTCATTTAGAATATGGTTGGAAAAATCCACAACAAAAGATATGGCAACACCAATGCTGATTCCTTGAGGAACTTCATCATCAGAGTTGTACCTGACAACATAGAAGGGATTCTTCACAGGTCCAAATACTTCATCAATTCTTCCTAGTGGCAACCTAGTTTCAGTAATCCAGAGAATGGATCCCTCATTGAGAGGGCTGTGCTTCTCCGATCCCTCCATAATGACCTTGTTGCTCAATATCTGGAGCAAAGTGAAGTCATAGTTAGATTTGGAGCAACAGCAAAAGAGAATATTGAGTCATATATATACTTGCATAAATTGAAAAGAAACAGATTTGGAGAGAGATTAGAGTTCCCGTACGAAGGGGTCTGATGGTGTATGTAGAGGATGAACCCGATCAGCTCCTTGATGATGTGGAAGATCTCGGAGGAGCTGAAGGTGGAGTTAGGGCTGTAGTTGGGAGATCTCACGGCGGCGATAGTCGACGGCGAAATCGCGCAGGAGGAGGAGCTGAAGGCGGAGTTGGTCGACCTCGATAGAGTTTGTCGGAGGATGTGGTCGATCGTCGGCGGAGTTAGGAGCAGGACCGATGCTTGATTCAGAGGATTTGGGGCTTTTTTTAGGGAGAGAGAGAACGGATCTGGGGTTTTTTCAGGTTGAGAGAGAATTTAAGTGGTCACGAGTGATAAGTAGCGATTTTTGCAAAAAAACCCAGAAACACGTGAATGCGTACGAACTGATGCGTATGAGAAACGCACTATATATATATATATATATATATATATATATATATATGGGAGATTCCTTGTTTGGATTTTTTGCCTGACGTACTAGTTCCGTCTAATTAGGGGTTAAGTGAGGATGCACATATTCTAAATTGGTTAAGTTTAAATATGGCTTATGATTCATATCTAGGAATTAATGGTACAAGATGTGTACGGGAAGGTTTCCTTGTCTGGATTATCCCCTCTTAGTACTTTTCTTATATTATTAATTCCTATGATACTACTGCAGAATTTCGGGGACGAAATTCTTTTAAGGGGGGTGAATGTAAAACCCAAAAAATTGTGATATATATATATAATTAATATGTGATTAATTATGATATATGGATTTTTATTTTGATAAATATAGTTATATGGTATGTGAGTAGTATACCATGTGTTTTGAGTATAAACAAGTTCATTCGTGAGGAAGAAAAGAGTTAAAACATGCACAATGGCCAAATATATAAGGAGCTGGAAAATTCCAGTCTGTTCGACCGTCACGGTCGACCGCAGACGGTCGACCTCTATGGTCGACCGCGACACTTGCAGAAGCGTTTCTCCTATTTTGAGTTGGTTTCGGATTTCTAAAGCCCATATTCGTTTTTCTTGGTTTATATATCAATCTTTTATGAATTTTCTCAGTTTTTCTAAGAGCCTTAACAGTCACCAAACCTCCATAAACCCTAACTTGATTCTTGGAGAAGATCGGAAGCTTTTGAGCAGGATTTCATGTGGTTTTTGACTTTTAGAGTGGAGATCTTCTTTGGTTTGGCATCTTAAACGTTTTTCTACAAATCTCAGGCGAGTTCATGGAGATCTTCTTTGGTTTGGCATCTTAAACGTTTTTCTACAAATCTCAGGCGAGTTCATCTCTGCTAATCCCCCTCCTAGTTTTTCTACAAATCTCAGGCGAGTTCATCTCTGCTAATCCCCCTCCTAGTTTTTAAAATATTTTTAAATAGTTTTTAACATGTTTTATAGAGCCAAATTAACTAGTCTATGCATAAAAGTCAATTCTTTTTTATTATATGTATAAAGACTAGGTCTTTCCATATGAAAAGTTTTGAGAAGGAATTTACAGAAGATATTTAATATCTGAAAATGATTAAAAGTTGTTTAATCTAAAGAAAGATGAATTGTTCTTTGTTTCAAGTTCTTATGCATGATTTAGGGTTTTAAATATGAATTTTTATGCACATAATCATGTATTATATATTATGTTGCTCCCAAAAGTTTTTATCTACTATTGACAAGTTTCCATGCAAGATTCATATTGTTTTAATCATGTTTGAATCACCTAAACATAGCGTGAACACAACACACACAACCAGATTTAGAATCTAGAATTTCAGCCCACGGTCGATTGCGCCTTAGTGGCAGTCGGCTGTGTGCAGGGCAGAGGCCAGGGTAGGCCCTGGAACCCGTCGCGATCGACCGCCACATAATTGCGGTTTACCGCAAAACTGTATATCGGTCTGTGCATGTTTTGTTCAATTGTTTTGGTTTTCGAGCGAGCCTCTCGACCTTCTACTACTATAATACAATATTTATGAGTTGTTTAACACTTGAGATGTTGGTAAACACCATAGATGGACATGCACATCGAGACATGTGCACGTATGTTTAGAATATGTTGTGTAGACATACCTTTGTCCTCATTTAAGTTGATAAATATAAAGAGTATAGTAATTTCACATTTCTGGAACAGTGAGATGAAACCTATTTCCGCAGGGCGATTGAGTAAGAATATTACAAAAGTATCGTCATATTATGTATCCGATGTTGGTAAACACCATAGATGGACATGCACATCGAGACATGTGCACGTATGTTTAGAATATGTTGTGTAGACATACCTTTGTCCTCATTTAAGTTGATAAATATAAAGAGTATAGTAATTTCACATTTCTGGAACAGTGAGATGAAACCTATTTCCGCAGGGCGATTGAGTAAGAATATTACAAAAGTATCGTCATATTATGTATCCGGAATAGAGAAATAAAACTCATTTCCGTAGGGTGATTAAGTAAAAACATTACAAAAGTATCGACATTTTACGTATCCGGGATAGGGAGATAAAACATATTACCGTAGAGAGATTGAGTAAGAATATTATAAGAGTGTCGCTAATGCATATGAGATGCACACTTATAAGTATTATAAATAATAGTTTTGCTTCCATTTTGAATACCCGTAAGTAGAGTGTTTTCTCTGAGAACGTGACTTACACGACAGGGCTTGTGGTTAATCTTTATTTTCGATAAGTTTCTCTTATGTTACATCCATCTACCCGAGTGTAGATCGGGATGAGATATTTGTTCTACAGGTTTGAGGTTTGGAGTGTTACCTTTTTGTTTATTGTTCTTTTTCAGTCATAGAGTTTGGAATTAGTATTTAGGGAGTCACAATTTGAGACATGGTATATACATGAGGGTTTCCTTGTTTGGATTATTTCACTCGACGTACTAACTTTCGTGTTGTGGATTCCTAAATACTAATCTCCAGTTAGATTTATACGAATGACTTTATACTTATATATTGTCTGTATTTTCTATATACTCCTACCCCTTCTCCTGAGGAAAGGTGGAGATGATCTCGCTATAGCACTTTGACGCTTGTTATTTTCTCCCCTTTCAGACAGCGAGTCCAGCGTACGGAGAGTCGCAGGTTGATGGGATTTCTTCATAGATTCCATCTAGCTATTTATTATTTTAGTAGTTATTACAGAACTTCACAGTTAGTTGTTTATGTTCAGACTCTAGACTTGTATTTTATTTTGTAGAGGCTGAGAGCCATATTGATACTTTATTTGACTTATTGTACTTGAGGTTTATTTTATACTCACAGATATTCTATTTTAGTTAGGCTCACTGATGATTATTCTCTTATTGCTTCTATGTACACCTGGTTTGTTTTATCTTTATTATTTTTCGGTCGGTACTTTTACCTATTTGTTGTTTCCACTAGTGAGATAGTAACTGTGATTATGAAACATGTCGTAGTGTAAGGACCGTAAAATTTTATTACTAGTTAAAATAATTATCTAGTATCTTAAATATTTAATTATGATTTATAAAAGAGTATTTATATTTTTCTTGAATTTCTATAATTTTCTATAATTTAAAGTCCAAGGTTTATATTTATTTAAATGATATTAATATTTATAAATTAATTTTGTGTGGTGAAAATTTCTGGAATTAATCTATTGTATTATTGACACTATTATGTATTATTTTTAAATAATATGTTGTATTATTATTATTATTTCATATAATACATTGTATTATTAATTACTTATTATTTGTATAATTTGTTATATTATTTCTATTGTTACATATTATTTGTCGTATTAGTATAACTGGTACTTTTTATCATGTAGATAATTCTTCCATAATTATTTGTTTTTAAATGTAAGTAATTATATTTTTATTAATTATTCTTGTTTAAATGTATAATTAGTTGTATTATTTCTACTATTGTGTATCAACTGTCGTATTAGCACAACTGGTACATTTTACAGTATAGATAATTATCTTATAATTATTTTATTTTAAAAATAAGAAATTATATTTTTTTAATAATTATTCTTGATAATTGTGTAATTTCTTACATTATTTCTACTGTTGCGTATTATCGGTTGTAATACTACAACTGGTACGTTTTGATGTGTAGATAACTTTCACGTAATTATTTAATTTTTTCATGATTATTATTATTTTTAATTAAATTTTAAAAACCCTAAATTCCCATATATATATATATATATATATATATATATATTTTATATTATATAATATATATATATATATCTTATTCTCTCTCTTCCCTCTATGTTTCACGCCGCCCCGAACCACCTCTTCTCCTACTTCTCTTTCTCTCTTCGTCTCTCTCTCGCCAAGAAAACCATCGCTCCGACGGCGGCGACCACAGCTTTCCCCCTTCTTCTTCCTCAAGCTCTGCTCTTTCCCTGACCATCATCTCTCTCACATTCCCTCTCTCCACAATTAGATCCGAACCATATCTGCCTTCCTCACACCTCAGACCCTCGCAACCACCTGCACCACTCAATCGCCTTGGCTACCGCCACTTCCTCGTCCTTCTCAGCCCAAGCTCTGACCAGAACCACCCTACCAGATCTGCCTCCCCTCCTCGCCAAGCCGCCACCACCATCTCCATGAACTCTGACGAGCTCCACACTCCCGCTGACGCCTGAACCCGACCAATCGCCCATCTCTCATGCCGCAGCCTTCTCTCCCCGCGGTGACTCCTCCTCACTGACCCGAGACTCTGAGCATGTCGTCTGAGCATGTCGTCCGACATCGCCGTCTACCCCCACAATCAGCCCCTCTCCCCTAACGCCGTCCACGCCGCTGCCCTCATGACCTCCTGCAGCTGTCAACCCACCTTCATAGCCGCACTCCCGTTCGTCGTCGCCGCTGCTTCAAAATTGAACCCGAACAGCCCCTCTCTCCTCCTGAACGCCGCTGTCCTCACCTCACCGTCGACATCGCCGGCGACCTCTCCCGCTGATGGTATCCCCTAATAGCTCCGACCAACGCTCTTCAAACTCGTGCTCAGATCAAACCCGCGGACTCGTACGTCAACGTCGATTCGTTCGACGAACCCTGAGGCAAGATCCCACCTCTCCTTGTTATTTCAATAATTATTAATTATATGTGTGGATTAGATGTAATATAATTATTTATGTAGGTTGTTAGAAGAATAATATTGATTTAAATCACAGTTCTGTGACAAATATCATTTCAAAATAATTATGATAAATTAAAAGAATTTATTTTGATAACAAAATCATATTAGGTGAGTTTATAATAGTTATTTTAAAAGAATTTATTTTTGAGAAAAGGAATTATTTCAGAATAATAATTGGTGAGAAATAAT